CCTCTTGTCTTCCTAGCCAATGGCTTTAAATTGTCAAATTCCCTGTTTTCTCTAGTGTCAGGGATAGGGCGCCTGACTGCAATAATTCACAACAAATCATCCTCATGGGCCCAGTCCACCAACACCAGGCTGCTGCCTTTCCTTCCTCCCTGAGCCCTGTTCAGCCTTTCTGGGAAGAGAGTCTTCTCCCCAGTCACCTAGCTGAAGTTCCCGTTCTGTTGGTATCTACAAGACCCCCTCTTCTCTCAGACATCCCTACGGTGTTTCTGAGTGTTAGCATCTCTAATTGTGTCCTGTTTTCCTGCTCAAATGGCTGTGCAACAATGCTCAGTTGAAATTGCACAAGCATGAACTACCTCATTACAGACATCCGCAGCTCAACGCAGGTCTTGGGTCATGTTTGCCACTGGGGTGTCCGCAGCCACCTTCCCTCTTTGGTCATGCAGTCCCTCCAACTTTAGTCTGTCTTGCATTCGTCTTTGTTCCAGAGAGGGTCACCGCTAGTCTTTCATACTGCTGTCTTCTAGTCTATTCTTGCCATAGCTGCCTGTCATATTATAACAGGGCTTCTAACCTGGAAGCCCTCTGACCTCTGAGAAGCCAGAGGCAGACTTCCTCAGTCCTCAGCATCCTGGCTCATTGTCATTTGGCTTGTTCAGTCACAGCATGACAGAAAGGCCCACACACACTGGCTATTCAGGCCGGTTTTGTGTCAGCCACTCCTTCTGAGCCATCTCGTCTGGCTTCCCATTCGATTTGCGTGGCCTCGTTGGCCTCAGCCTCCCTTTGGGTCATTAAGAACAAGACTACAGCCCGGTGGTGGTAGTACACACTAATCCCAGCACTTGGAAGACAGAGGCAGGCGGATCTCTGTGAGTTCGAGGCCAGCCTGATCTACAGAGCTAGTTACAGGACACTCAGGGCTATACAGAGAAGCCCTCTCTCAAAAAAAAAAAAAAAAAACCAAAAAAAAAGAAAAGAACAAGGTTGCTATCAAACCTGGCCACCCTTCCCCTAGGGTTCTGCTGCAGAAGTCCCTCAAATCCCCTGACTGAGTAGCCAAAGTTCTTTTAGACTACACAATATCTCTCTACACACTAACAATCCTGTCTCTCCTAAGGATTCACGGAGAGGGAGGAAGAGAGATAAGGGGTCATGAGAAGTTGGGGGTGGGGTAGGGAGGGGAGGCAGCAGAGGACTGAGGGGCGGGTAAGCAGGAGCTCGGCCTCACCCTGCTGCACCTCACTCCTCCCCACAGGATGCTGGCCCAGAGGCAGCAGCACTCCTTTGGTTTGCATGGGGTAGCATGTGTGGGCACAGAAGCCCACCTCTCCCTTTGTTCTCTGGAGTTCTATCGTGCCAATGACACCACCAGATGCCCTGGGGGGAGCCCTGCAGTGGTGAGCTGTGTGCTGGGCCCTCTTTATGCCACCTTGACTGGTCAGAAGAAGCACCAGCAGACGAAGCCTCAGGGGGAGGTATGTCACACAATGAATGTTCACCTACACCCCCAGCCCAAGACAGTCAATGTGACCTTTCCCTACCCAATGGGAGCTCCCTAGCCTGTCCTCTACTCACTAAGCACAGCCCTGATCTTTGAAGACAAGGGACCTTCCGGTAGCTGTGCCACAGACCTGATGACATCCACTGTCATTAAAATCTCATTCAGGCCTGGAGGGATGGCTCAGCCATTAAAGACTAGGCTCACAACCAAAAATATAAAATCTCATTCAGCTCTCTGGGCTGCATAGCCCTCCCTAAACCAACGTAGCTAATCACTTCTTTGGACGTGTCTATCTCCTACAGGCCCGTGTGCGTCTAAAGGGTGGTGCCCACCCTGGAGAGGGCCGAGTGGAAGTCCTGAAGGCCGGCACATGGGGAACAGTCTGTGACCGGAAGTGGGACCTGCCAGCAGCCAGCGTGGTGTGTCGAGAGCTGGGCTTCGGCACTGCTCGGGAGGCCCTGAGTGGTGCCCGCATGGGGCAGGGTGAGGGGAGCGGATGTTCACACTACCATGGGTACATTCCTCAGGAAGGTATGGAGTCCTCTGGGCAATGAAGGTCTAGTTACAACCTCCTCAGCCTTGACTTCTGACTCTAGGCATGGGTGCTATCCACTTGAGTGAAGTCCGGTGCTCTGGCCAGGAGCCCTCCCTCTGGAAGTGTCCCTCCAAGAACATCACAGCTGAGGACTGTTCCCACAGCCAGGATGCCGGTGTACGATGCAACCTCCCCTACACTGGAGTGGAGACTAAGGTCAGTCATGCACTCCACTTTGGGTCTTTCTACACAGGTCCAGCATCTGAAACACAGGCTGTCTGCATCCAGCCCTCTATCCCAGGCCTGCACAGCCCACAGCTCCCACACGCCCTGGCCATTTGTTAGTCCTTTCTCTATCTCTGCTCCCTGCTGTAGCCTGTCACCCCCAAAGCTTCTCCTGTACCTCTACAGATCCGACTGAGTGGGGGCCGAAGCCGTTATGAGGGGCGAGTTGAGGTGCAAATAGGGGCACCTGGGCATCTTCGCTGGGGCCTCATCTGTGGGGATGACTGGGGAACACTGGAGGCCATGGTGGCCTGCAGGCAACTTGGTCTGGGCTATGCCAACCATGGGCTGCAGGTAAGAGGGGAGAAATGGGAAACCAAAGCTCTTGTCACCAAAGTTTGTGCTTTGGCCCTGGAAACTGAAGTCTATGGCCTCACCCGAACTCCTTCCTACACCCCCCAGGAGACGTGGTACTGGGACTCGGGGAATGTAACTGAGGTGGTAATGAGCGGAGTGCGCTGCACGGGGTCTGAGCTGTCCCTGAGCCAATGTGCCCATCACAGCACCCACATCACCTGCAAGAGGACGGGAACCCGCTTCACTGCAGGGGTCATCTGTTCTGAGAGTGAGTGATGAGTGGGTAGTGTGCGCTAGAGAAGTAAGGCCTGGACCAGCCCTCCCTTGGAGGGAGATGTGCTGTGATCCGGAGGGGAGGGGCACTCAGCGGCCCCATGAGAGCCCAGCGTCCCACAGGAGCTGGAATACCGCTAGCGGTAACTTCATCACTCTTTGCCCCACGCAGCTGCTTCCGACCTGCTGTTGCATTCCGCACTGGTACAGGAGACTGCCTACATTGAGGACAGACCACTGCACATGCTGTACTGCGCTGCTGAGGAGAACTGCCTGGCCAGCTCCGCCCGCTCAGCCAACTGGCCTTACGGCCACCGGCGTCTACTCCGATTCTCTTCCCAGATCCACAACCTAGGAAGAGCTGACTTTAGGCCCAAGGCTGGGCGCCATTCTTGGGTGTGGCATGAGTGCCATGGGTGAGAGGGCAGACGGGGGCCAGAGAGACAGGCAAGGCTACAGGGGATGTGACAAGCCTGCTGGAATCTGGGGAAGAATCACAAGTTCCCTTGTCCCACAGGCATTACCACAGTATGGACATCTTCACTCATTACGATATCCTGACCCCCAACGGCACCAAGGTGGCTGAGGGCCACAAAGCTAGTTTCTGTCTAGAAGACACTGAGTGCCAGGAGGGTGAGTTGGGGCCAGAGTGGACTTAAGCCCAAGCATAGTCTTGCCCTTCACTGACATATAACCCTCCCTTCAGATGTCTCCAAGAGGTACGAGTGTGCCAACTTTGGCGAGCAGGGCATCACCGTGGGATGCTGGGATCTCTACAGGCACGATATTGACTGTCAGTGGATTGACATCACAGATGTGAAACCAGGAAACTACATTCTCCAGGTGCCTGGCATTCAGATATTGCTGTTTGGGGTGGGTGGTGGAGACACCTTTGGACCGGAGGAGTGCAGCTGGGTCACACCAGCCTTCTTTCTAACTCACAGGTGGTTATCAACCCGAATTTTGAGGTGGCAGAAAGTGACTTCACCAACAACGCAATGAAGTGTAACTGCAAATACGACGGGCATCGCATCTGGGTACACAACTGCCACATTGGTAGGTGACGGGAAGGGCGAATGGGGCTAGGGGAAAGCTTTCATCCCTGCGTGACTCTGCGGGGAGCCCCTCACAGTGCCCATCTGCTCTGCAGGGGATGCCTTCAGTGAGGAGGCCAACAGGAGGTTTGAGCGCTACCCTGGCCAGACCAGCAACCAGATCGTCTGAAATGGCACTGCCCTCTCAGCAAACCACCACTGGCCCCATGGCAGCGGTCTGAGGCTGCCATTACCTCAGGAGCATCCCACAAGAACTCCTGATGTCAGCAGGCCCGCTACACCCATCCAGCTGTGCACTGCGGATGACGAACTGGTGAACAAAAGTTGGTGCCTCCCCTACTGGGCCAAGCATGGAGATTCAGTCAACAGACAGAGCACACCACAGAGAACTGCCCATACAGGACGGCAGCAGCTCGCTCCTTGAACAGGGAGGCCAGGAAGGTCAGCTCTCACGCTCTCCTGAGTGCCACTTTACCTCCAGCCTTCTGGTGGGGGAAAAGATCCAGCCCCCATTTTTGACTGAAACATGTTGCTAGGTATAATTTTATTTTATATAAAATGTGTTCTTCAGAGCCCAGGATTGGTGCTGGTGGTTAGAGGAACCTGCCCTCTATAGGTCCATTGACTCCTCGGCCCAGGTGCACTCAGAACCTAGGCTAGGAAGGCAAGAAGGAAATCAGGGCAGGAGTTTCATACTCTTGCTAGTCCAGTCATTCTGTGACCTCAGGGGTCACATATAAGGTCAGTGTTTCTGATCCCCGCCGGATCCGCACTGCCAGCTGTGATTGGGTTCGAACAGCCTCATAAACATCTTCAGCATTTTGTACCATTTTCTCCCCAATGGCCAAGATCACGTCACCGGGCCGCAGACCAGCCCTGCAAAGGATGAACAGGGACAGGAAGGGGTAGACAGCTAAGTTCAAGGGTCCACGCACCCCACTCCACCCCACCTCACAGAGCAGGCCTTCCATCACCTGTGTGCAGGGGAACCCAGGATAACTTTGTGGATGAGGACACCGTGCTGAACATCAGGAAAGCTTGGCTCTCGGAGCTGTAGCTCAGCCAGGATGCTGGAAGGGTACAGACCGCCCTGTTAGCTGCACCCAGGCCCTCTCTCATCTCGGCAGGTCACTTTTCGTTATCCAGTGTTTAGGAAGTGGGATACACGTGGAAGTGTGTTGATTCCAAATGACATGCAGGGTTAAGCCAACTGCACTTGCGTCATTCTGGAATTCCACCTTTAGGAAGGGCAGAACCTAAGCTGAGCCTAAAAGGATGGGTCCTATTAACCCATCATATGAAATAAGAAGGTATTAAGACACAGAAATGAGCCAGGCAGTGGTAGTACACGCCTTTAATCCCAGCATTAGGGAGGCACAGTAGGCAGATCTCTGAGTTTGAGGCCAGCCTGGTCTACAGAGCAAGTTTCAGGACAGCTAAGGCAACACAGAGAAACCCCATCTTGAAAAACAAAAACCAAACAAACAAATAGGAGCAGAAAATCAAAGTGGTTCTGAAGAAGAGATAAGTGGAAATGGTCCGTCAATGCTAGCTCCATGAATCACAGCAGCGAAGCAATAACACGATGCAGTCAATCTGGTGAAAGGTACAAGGTGCAGTAGGATGGAAAAGTTAGGATGAGAGGGAAGAGCTCTTGTGACAGCAGACAACAGCTCATCTTAGATAAAGACAGACGTGAAAGCAAAACCGAAAATAGAGTCCAGCTGCAACAGTCCCCCATCTCATGACCCATAACGGAGTCCAGCTGTAAAGCACAGACACACTCGTGGTCCTACACATCATGGCCCCCAGTATACCTGGGAGTCAGAGTCAGCATCATCACTCCAATGTAGCGGCGCTGGGACCCACTGATTCCAAACCAGGAATCTGTAAAAAGAGGACAGATAAACCCGCCCAGCTACACCTGCTTTCCCTCCCTCCTACCAGTAGAGCCCTCCCCAACAAGTTTCAGTGAACGCCCCTCCCCTGCATCCCATCCTCCACTTTAAAGGTGCCCCTCTCCTACTAAGAAAGGCTCACTTTTCTTTTCCCCGCGGTGCAGAAACTCCCTAAGGCGATCAGAAGGGATGGCAAAGGAGATTCCAGCTGTCACCTTCATGGTGTTCACTCCAATCACCTCCCCATCCTGCAGGGACACAGCCCTCTGTCCCCTAGCCCACACAGATGGCAGAGCAGCAAGGATTTGGGGGCAGGGGTCTGATTGGATACCAAGAGATAAACAAGAAACTACAGAAACTTAACCAAAAATCCTTAAATGAGAGAAAAAATCACCCTTCCCCCACAATGACCTGGGGTATGGATTCTTTTAGAAGAACATGGCACTCACCAGGTTAACCAGGGGGCCTCCAGAATTTCCAAACTGTGGGATAAGATGAAAGAAACATCAAAGAAATCTGGAAGTCTATGCCTCTGGGAATTCTATGACTGTAGGCATAACTAGCATGTTGGGAAATTCTTCAAATTCTGTTCCCAGCCCATGACCTAGACTGGCTGCATTTTGCAGCCCAACCTCTGATATAGGACAAGCCACCACCTGTCAGTTGGTGCCCACACCAGACTGCCATTTTCCCCAACTCCAACCTAGCTCCACATTTCTCCCCTATCAGGACGCACATCAATAGCTGCATCAGTCTGAATGTATTCCACGTTGTTTTGAGGAAGTCCCAGATCCCTGGCTGGACGCTGAGCAGAGCTGACAATGCCAGATGTGATCGTGTTCTGCAGTGCAAAGGGACTTCCCATGGCAACGACAAACTCCCCTTGCCGGACGTCAGCAGAGCGGCCGAGGGGCAGTGTGGGAAGAGGCTCCTTAAGGGAAATGAGTACACCCAAACTGGTCAGTTTAAGAAGGGAGCACGTAAACAGCTGCCATCTGCTCGGGCTTCCTCCATCCCCACCTTGGTTTGAATCCTCAACGTGGCAATGTCTGCCACAGGATCCACAGCTGTGACCATGGCCTCATAAGTGTCTCCGCTAGGCAGCCTCACTCGCACTCGGCGCCGATCAGCCACCACGTGGGCGTTGGTAACGATGAGCCCATCGGAAGCCACTACGAATCCTGAACCGTTTGAGATGGGGACTTCACGGCCTGAGAAAGGGTGCCTGGGAAGGGGGAAAGCACCGATTACACTGCAGCTGCCACCCTATTCTGCTCACTTGCCTGAGGGCAGTTGGTTTCAACACCTCCCGGTCAACTTCACCATTACCGGTCCAGGATTTCGATATAGACCACAGCAGGGGCTGTCTTCTCCACCACATCTGCGATGAAATTGTACTGGCTCCGGGGAGACTTGGGTGGGGGAGCCGGAACAGCAGCCAGCACCGCGGGAAGGCCCCGCCCCCAGCCCCACAACAGCAGCAATATTGCTCCCCCTGCGCCCACCGCCACCGCCAGCCATTCGCGCCGACGGGCTCCAGAGCTCCTGTAGGCCTCCTGGGCACCGGAGTCTGGAGTTCCCACAGTCAGTCGTGCCCAGAGATCCGGGGTCCCAGGCATCAGACGTGCCCGTGATGCAGGGACCCCTACAGGCACCCGGGCCGGGAGACTGGGGGTCCCATAAGTCATCCGGGCCTGAGGGTCAGGAGTTCCTGACGTCATCAGAACCCGGAGGTCAGGGGTTAACAGGGGACCCTTCCCCCAGAAGATGCCCCCCAAAGCCCTCCAAGCCCGAAGGATCCTGCCTGCACCCCGCCCCGCCTTCAGCGCAGCCATCAGCTCCGCCTCGGCTCTCTCCTTGCCCGTCCTACTAGGCGGTGCCCTAAAGCCTAGCTAGCCCACTTGGAGAAGCGAGGCACGCCGGTATCTGTCCAGTGCATGCCGGGAATTGTAGTCCCTTCAGGACGCGCTATTTTAGGCGTGCGCGCGCGCGCGCACACACACACGTTCCCCCCCCCGCCAAGCCGCAAGGCATGCTGGGAGCGCTAGCCCTTCCGGGGCGCTTCTGGACCTCGGGTTCTGGCATCCCTGCGGATGCCCGAAGACTCCGCCTTCCCAGGAGCCCCCGCGGCCCTGCGAAGATGGCGGCGACAGAGGCCCTGCTTTCCTGAGGCGGCTGCGATGGAACCTCCCCCAGCTCCGGGGCCGGAGCGGCTCTTTGACTCGCACCGGTAAGCGCTGCGGAGGGAAGACACTGGTCAGCGGGTCCTCTCGGCTTCGGCGCCTGATCGCGTCGCCTCTCGCCGCAGGCTCCCGAGTGACGGCTTTCTGCTGCTCGCGCTGCTGCTCTACGCTCCGGTCGGCCTCTGCCTCCTGGTGCTGCGCCTCTTCCTAGGGCTCCACGTCTTCCTGGTCAGCTGTGCCCTGCCTGACAGCGTGCTCCGCAGGTGCGAACTGCGGTGCCTGGGGAGCCCCCGGGCTGGGCCTGGTTTAGGACCGCACAGTCACCGCCGTCTGTGTCCCCAGGTTCGTGGTACGGACCATGTGTGCAGTATTGGGGCTCGTGGCCCGGCAGGAGGACGCCGAACTCCGGGATCACCGCGTCAGGGTCCTTATTTCCAACCATGTCACACCTTTTGACCACAACATAGTCAACCTGCTCACCACCTGTAGCACCGTGAGTGGGGGCGAGGCCGAGAGCGCCACCGGGTGGCCCCCTAGGCCCTAACTCAGTGCTCACCTTTACCCATTAGGGTTCTCTTGGGGAACCCCGATCCTTTTCCCTCACGCCATAAACACCACCCCACATGTTCCTTTTTTTGTTTTTTGACGTTTCACCTTATTCTTTTCTTACTGCTTTTTCTCCTCCCTGCTCTCAGCCTCTGCTCAATAGTCCCCCCAGCTTTGTGTGCTGGTCTCGGGGCTTCATGGAGGTGGATAGGCGGGTGGAGTTAGTGGAATCACTCAAGAAGTTCTGTGCTTCCACGAGGCTTCCGCCCACACCTTTGCTGCTCTTCCCCGAAGAAGAGGCCACCAATGGCCGAGAGGGGCTCCTGCGTTTCAGGTGGGTAAGCACAGGGCCCTGACTCCAGTGGAGTGGGTTGTCAAGCTCCTGGGTGAATCTGCCCTAGTTCATTTCTTCTCTGCCCACTTTTGGTCCTGTCCCCGGAATTCTTAATTCCTTGGTTATCTGCTTATGTAGTTGGACAGTTTCCTTGTTTAAGGCAAATATGAGTTGTTGGCTGGGCTATGCTAGATTCCCATCTTACTCTCTCTTTCTTAGTTCGTGGCCGTTTTCTATCCAGGATGTGGTACAACCTCTTACGCTGCAAGTTCAGAGACCCCTGGTCTCTGTGGTGAGTGCCTACTGGACAGGGTATCTTGGGGGGGGGGGCGCAGGTTGGAGGGGAAGTTTCCTACCTCTGGCCCTGGCTTAGACCTCACTTCATGCCCTCCCTCCCTTCAGACGGTGTCAGATGCCTCCTGGGTCTCAGAGCTGCTGTGGTCACTTTTCGTCCCTTTCACGGTGTACCAAGTGAGGTACTAATTGTCCTCAGTTTTTGGTGGCTGGGGAGTTGCTCACTTCAACGTCATGGAAAGTAGTGATCTCTGGTTAATGTCGAAGTTCCTCCACAGAGATAACACTTATCTACCACCTCCCCCCCCCCCCATCACCACCGTCCAAGAGTAAATGGGGAGGGGATGACACCCTTCGCCCTGGTGCCTTAGCAGGATACTGCTTGGTTTTCTACAGGTGGCTCCAACCCGTTCACCGGCAGCTGGGGGAGGAGAATGAGGCGTTTGCCCTCCGTGTCCAGCAGGTGGTATTGAACACAGGCGTGGTGGTGGTGGGGCCCCTTCTCAGGGGCTGGGGAAAAGGCCTGAAGGGGCTGCAGTTATAGCCTAACAATTCTCCCTAGCTGGTGGCCAAGGAATTGGGCCAGACAGGGACACGGCTCACTCCAGCAGACAAAGCAGAGCACATGAAGCGACAGAGACACCCGAGAGTACGCCCGCAGTTAGGTGTGTGGTCTCTCCTGTGGTGGCTGTACTTGTATGTGCTTGTCAGCTGCCTTGTTCTCTACTCACCTAATGCTTCTGTTTTGTTTTTTGTTTTTAACAGCACAGTCTTTCCCTTCTTCTCCCAGTCCTTCTAATGTGCAGATGACAACTCTGGCTCAAAGAGTCAAGGAGGTTTTACCCCATGTGCCATTGAATATCATCCAGAGAGACCTGGGTATGGTACAGGATAGTTCACAGAGTGACAGATACAGGAAAAGTGGGTTGTGGCAGAGAGGGTGTACAGGAAATGGACACTCTGCCCCTTTCTTCCCAGCCAGGACCGGGTGTGTAGACTTAACCATCACAAATCTGCTTGAGGGGGCTGTGGCTTTCATGCCTGAAGATGTCACTGAGGGAACTCAGCCCCTACCCACAGCCTCTGCCCCAAAGGTGAGACCCAGGGATAATCAAGGCCAAGACTTAGGGCAGGTCGGGGCAGTCTCTTTGCTCCCTCTCCCTGACTCTCTTTTTGATGTTGAGACCCTAGCACAGTGCCTCTCTTGCAAAGTAGGCATCGATGGGTGTTTAATGATGATGACTTCGCAAGCCCTCTGACATTGTGATCACCTCAGTTCCCCAGCTCTGGCCTGGTGACCCCTCAGCCCACAGCCCTAACATTTGCCAAGTCTTCCTGGGCCCGGCAGGAGAGCCTGCAGGAGCGCAAGCAGGCACTGTATGAATATGCAAGAAGGTGAGGGGTGTGAGGACATATGTAGGAAGGAGCGAGTTGGAGAAGGGCCCAATGAAGCTAATGTGACAAAGTCTACACACTGTCTCTCCCCATGTCCCACAGGAGATTCAGAGAGAAACAGGCCCAGGAGGCTGACTGAGCCCAAAGGAACAGGATGGTACCCAGAGCCGCAGGACGGAGACTGGGGGCAGCCCTCATCCAGCTTTCAACAGGCGGGATGAGTGGGTGGTAAAAAGGGAGGGATGGAGCTCCCCCAATGTCACATTAAATTCAGGGTTTTCACTCAAGGTCTCTGTTGCCTCTCTGGGTGTCAAAATCCCCTTAAGCAGGTTCCTTTTCCTCAGTCGAAGAGTATATGGGTGAGGATGATCCCCATGAAGCTGAAGAAAACTGGATCGCAGCTTGGCTATGGTGGGAGGTTATCACTGGAAAACTACAAGTCCCAGAATGCATTTCATGAGCACAGGCCCGTCAGGTTCACACATGCTCAGTGCGGTGGCAGGAACCGGCTTTCCATGGGTTCCTAGCTAAATTAAGGTGGGGCAAAAGGCCCCACCCCTAAAAGCAAGCTTCGGGATTGGAGTTGGAGCTCAGCCTGAGGGTGGGGCCAGAATTTACCTTTGCACTTCAGGCGGGTCTGGGTTGGTGGTGTCTGACTGGGTGTGTCCAGAACTGGCTGCTATCCTGACACGTCTCAGAGCTGCTGACAGGTTTGAATCCAGGATACTTATGGCCCTGCTGTCCCGCTCACTCTTTCCCAGATTTCTTACTTTTTACCACCTTCGATCCTTCCCACAGATTACTATGCTTCACCTAATTCCTGCTGCCCACAAGGGGCCCTGTGCTAGTCACAAGGTCTTTACTGTCCCAACTACAACAGGGTAAAAGTCCACATGCGATGACTCCTTAGAAACACCCAGCACTGTTTCCTGGCAAGCAAGTGCCGCTGGGAAGGATGGACCCCAAGGCATTATCCTCGATGGGTTGAGGTTGGGGATCAAGTTGAAACGCGAATTTGGTATCAGCCACTAGATCCAAGGCCTTACTGGCTGCCCTGCTTCCCGTAGGTTCTATGGACAGCCTCCATGGCCTCTGGGCTGGCAGAAGAGTCTGAACCAAGTCCTGGGGAGTCTGAACTGGCTGTGAACCCCTTTGACGGGCTCCCCTTCTCTTCTGGCTACTATGAGCTGCTTGAGCAGCGCAGAGCCTTGCCCATCTGGGCTGCTCGCTTCCTGTTCTTGGAACATTTGGAGAGTAGCCCCACTGGAGTGGTGCTGGTATCTGGGGAGCCCGGCTCTGGCAAGAGCACCCAGGTGGAGGAAGATTCTGGGAGGGGACACAGGGCAGGGTTAAATGGGCCTTTTCCTGGGTAAAGAATGGGCATGTGGGAGAGGTGGGCAAATGAAGATGGGATTGGCTGGCCTCGGGGTGGTAATCATCCAGGAATCCCAATTCAATTTGCCATAGTTCCTGCGCTCTTCTGTCTTCGGTCCTCCAATCCCCTGACCATGACCCTTCCTTCTCCCCACCCCAGATTCCTCAATGGTGTGCAGAGTTTGCATTGGCCAGGGGATTCCAGACAGGCCAAGTTACTATCACTCAGCCCTACCCTCTAGCAGCCATGAGCCTGGCTTCAAGGGTGGCTGATGAGATGGACCTGACCCTGGGTCATGAGATTGGATACAGCGTTCCTCAGGAGGACTGC